TATCCATACGATTAACCTTAATTCTGCTATTGTTATGCAAATGTTTTGGGATAGTCTTTAGTCTCATGATCACAGTGTTTCTCAAATAGGGCTCTCAAGTGTAGGGTATTGCAGAGTTTCCTCTTTCACCCCTCTTATTCATGTGGCCATTAGGAAGGCCACTAAGATGGCATGGAGTACAGGATTTTAAGTATTTTTATGAGGGTGAAAGCCAGCTTTGTCTTGTGTGTTCTGAACCCGTGGGTCTCAACAGTGGTCCGGGGACCCCAGAGGGACCGTGAGCAGGTTTCAAGGGGTCCACCAAGCAGGGACGGCATTAGACTTTCTGGGACCCATGACAGAAAGTCGAAGCCCCGCCGCATGGGATTGTAGCCCAGGGCCCCGAGCCCTGCCACGCGGGGCTGAAATTGAAGCCTGAGCAACTTGGGTTCACAGGGCCCCCTCTGACATGGGGCCCCAAGCAGTTGCCCTGCTTGACACCCACTAATGCTGGTCCTGGCTTTTATATGCAGAAAAACAGTTGTGGTGGCAGAAGTGGGCCATGGAGGTTTTTTTATAGCGGGGGGGGGGGGGGGGCTCAGAAAGAAAAAGGCTGAGAACCCCTTCTCTGGACAATGCTGTTGAACACTTTTTTAGCCAGTTTTAGCCAGGTTGAGATTAGGTCATGGAGGAGGGCAGGTGATTTAAAGCTCAAACTAGATAAAGCTCAGGTGGTGCTAAATTGTAGGATGTCCAGTTTAGGATGATATGGAGAAATAACATAAGCCCCTTTGGTTGAAGGTATTTGTGACAGGTTCCCCGGGATGCAGCCTGGGACTGTGGAACCGCTGTGCCCTCTTTACTCCCTATTCTGGGTTGTCTCTCACAATGCCTTACTAGTGGCAAGCAGCAAACCCCTGCAGGTACTGTTACCACTCAGTACAACTGCACGTGGAGCCCCACACCCAGCTAAATTGCATGAATGCTCCCAGAGCCACTCCTGAATCACACAGAGAGAGGCACCAGAGCCAAATCCCCCAAGCTCCCAGCCTTGTACCTCAGGCATATATCGTCTTGCACTGCTCAAGACCCTTTCTTGAGCAATGCAAGTTTATTAATTGGTTCACCACTTCATCAATGGGAAGTGGACATACATGAGTCTTTGTAATTTGAGCATATTTACCAAGCACTTCAGGCAAACTCACTGGTAAAGATAAACAGTAAAACAAGTTTATTGATTACAAAAGATAGATTTTAAGTGATTATAAGTGATAGGCAGAAAGTCAGAGTGGTTACCAAAATAAAATATAAGCATGCATTCTAAACCTTAACCCTTATCACACTAGGCAGTATTTAGATCAAGCAATGTTCTCACTCCACCGGCTCTTACAGTTCTTAATATACAGGTTTGTCCCTTAAACATGGGCCAGTCTTCTCTGTTGAAATCTTCTGTCTTCTCAACGTCCTTGTTGCTTGCAGCATAGGTGGGGGAGGAAAAAGGACCCAGGTTGAGCAATTCCCCTGGTGTGGCCTTGTGCAAGTGAGTCATTGCATTGTAGCTCCCTTGCTGGACAATGGCTGTTGATAGTTGTTCGACACTTGCCTGGGCGTTGGTTATCTCCTTGGTTATCGTCTTTGGGGGCGCTAGTATCTGGGCGCTTCCCAAACCCTTAGCATATTTTAGTGACAATCATACAACACAACTCTCATAACTTCATATGCATTAATGATATATATTTAGATGTAACAATGGGTTTCAGCAGATCATAACTTTTCCCATGATACCTTACAAGGCATACCTTGTATGCAACATCAAAATTATATACAAATAAATATGGGGGTTACAGGGTGCTCCCCTGGGGTGTAGTGTCACAGTAGTCATCTGTCCTTAGTTTCTTAATTTTGAAATGGTCTTAGACCAGGAGTCGGCAACCTATGGCACGCATGCCAAAGTTGGCACGCGAGCCAAATTTTAATGGCACTCTGCAGCCCCGCACACCTCCCAGGCCCGTGCCCTGAGCCCTGCACCCCGCACACACCCCAGGCTCCTGCCCTGAGCCCTGCACCCCCCTCATACACACCCAGACCTCTGCTTGACTCTTTCACCCCCTCCGCCCCCAGGACCCCAGCCCTGACTCTGGCACCCCCGCACCCCATGCCCTGACTCTTGCACCCCCCACATACCCATCCCCACCCTGAGCACCAAACGGGAGCTCCTGTTCCCCCCCACACATTCCCACCTGCATCCCTCGCACCAAATGGGAGCTGCCCAGGTAAGTGCCCCACACCCAAACCTCCTGCCCCAACCCTGAGCCCCCTCCCTCATTCTAGCTCCTGGCCAGACCCTACACCCCAACCCCCAGCCTGCTCCTTCACCCACAGCCCTGTGCTCAGTGCACTCCCACCCTCAGCTCAGTGCAGAGAGAGGAAGAGAATGGGCCAGAACCAGGGAGAAGGTAGTTACCCACTGTACATGGGCAGGGCCAGGACCCTAGACCGGCAGTGGGTTGAGCGGGTCCGGCAGCCGGGATCCCAGCTGGCAGGAGCCGGCTGATGGAACCCCTGAGCGGCAGCGGCCTGAGCCGCTCAACCCACTGCCAGTCTGGGGTCCCGGCCGCTGGCCCCGCACAGCCCACTGCCGGTCAAGGGTTCTTGCTGCCAGACCCTTGCCAGCCTGGGTCCTGGCCGCAGGCCCCGCTCAGCCTGCAGCTGGCCTAGGTGAACAGAACCCAGGACCAGCAGCGGACCGGCGGCCTAAGATCAACATTTTAATTTAATTTTAAATGAAGCTTCTTAAACATGTTGAAAACCTTGTTTATTTTACAATAAAACAATAGTTTAGTTATATAATATATAGACTTATAGCGAGAGACCTTCTAAAAAACATTAAAATGTATTACCGGAACGCGAAATCTTAAATTAAAGTGAATAAATGAAGACTCGGCACACCGCTTCTGAAAGGTTGCTGACCCCTGTCTTAGACAATCATTTAAAACACAGTGGCTTTTAGACACTCCATATTACAGCAGTGACCAATATGTTGTTTTTTTGTCTGCTCCCAGACAGGAGATTGCAACCTTTTCTCTCCGGTTTGGACCTTGCTGCTGTTATCCGTGGCATTGTCACCTCAAAATTACATTACAGTAATGTAGAGTAGTGTGGTCTAGTGGATAGAGCAGTAGATTGCGACTCAAGACCTGGATTCTATTCCTAGCTCTACCATTAGCCTGCTCTGCGACCTTGGGCAAGCCACTTCACCTTTGTGCTCCGTTTCCCCATCTGTAAAATGGGGATAAAGATTGACCTCCTTTGTAAAGCACTTTGAGATGTAGTTATGGAAATTGCTATATAAATTATAATATGCTCTCTGTGGGGGCCACACATTAAATCCTTTTGAAAACTGAAGCTGGTGTAGAATGCTACAACTCACTTGTTAAATGGTGTATCTTGTAGGGGAGCACACAGCATCAGCACTCTGATCTGCGTTGGCTTCCTATTGGTTTGAGTGAATTTTAAAGAGTTGGTTTTGACCTATATAGCAATAAATCATTTGGGACCTGTCTACTGGAAAAACTGCCTCTCTCCCTATATGATACAGCCACATGTGCACTCTGCAGAGATGCAGAACCCCCTTGATGGGGCATTCTCAGTGATGTCCTGCTGGCTTTCCAAAATAGCTGTAATCTGTTGACTTTTAGGACATGCTGCACCGACCATCCATTTGCTCAGGATTTTGGCAATGGCTAAGCTGTGTGTGTGTGATTGGGTTTTAGGTTTGTTTGGGTATGTTTGGCTATTTTGAATTGATGGCTAGTTAACTTTGTTGTGTGTGTGGTCACTGTTGCTCTGTTGGGTGATTATTCCTTTGTGGACTATTTTAAATAATTATCATAATGGCTAAAGGTATGAATGTCATTTTTTATTGGAATAAAAAACATGCAAATGTAATATTTACAACTTTACATACATGTGTATTATTTTCTAATATTCTTTTCATTCTTCTGCACTTATACTAATTGTTGTAATAGTCCATTACATTTTTGACTTCTGAGGCAATTAACCATGTCAGGTGGTCTGTTTTGTCAGAGTTTTTTCACAAGTACTCATGTTAAACTTCATGTATAATAGATGTTGTTGTGAAACTGTAGTTTATGGTATCCTTTTAATATGAATGACCTCAGGGACCACATGGAATTGTAGTAGACCTGTTGTTGCTCAGATTTTCCAAAATCTTCATCTTGGGGAAAAGACCAAGCCTGGAAAATTTCAGCTGGAAAGCCACAATTTAAAGTGGCTGAAAACAGTTTGTGTACTAGCCTGCTGTGATAAAATCTTAACTGTCATGGTCAGTGAAACTCTTGCTGTAGTATAAAATATGAATTGCTCAGTATAATCCAGTGAGTTACATTGATTATCTTATATTGCCTATCCATCTACGTTGTTTGTGATAGCTGTGATGTAACCACCTGCTTCATAGAACAACAGCGAAGACTGCAACCCACGTTGGAAGGATCTGGTGGAGAACCTTAATTGAATTGGTTCTGATGTATCTCTTGAAACAGAAAGTGCGCACATATTACAAATTACAAGATTATGGGTCATATAATATTGCAGTTCACCTTCAGGCTTTCTCAAGGGATGGAAGAGTTACTCACACTAAATTTGTTTCTCACCATGTATTAGAATAAGTCTTTAGTGGTTGGCAACAGAAAACGCTAACAGTTTTTTTTGCTTTAATCTTTGAGTAGTCTGGACATTAGAAGCATGTGAGTTGCATGTTTGGGATTGAGTAAAAATGTGTAACTGTTTTAAATTAAAATATGTAATGGACAATAAAAGTTGAGACCCAAACCAGAACTCTTACCATCTACTTATGAAAGCAAAACCAGTAGGTCCTCTTCCTATGTACTGTTGGTGCCTAGCCGTTTAGTCCTAAGATTAGAAATGCACGTGTCTAGATATCTCACCTGGAAAGTTTGAATTCTTTGTATGTTTCTCTAATGGTGTTTTTATTTACATAGGTGCTGATGTGACAGAACCCAGCAATTCGGATAGCCGAGTGGAGAGATCAGACCTTTACACAAATGTTGATGAAGCACTCCTAGGAGGTGATGCTAGCTACCTATCTCAGCCTCTTACCCCGGAGAAGGATGATGCACTTCAGGCTGCGACAGTTGCTAACCTGCGCGCAGCCCTCATGAGTAAGAACAGCTTGTTATCTCTGAAAGCTGACATGCTGGGAGAGGACAGTTCTCTGCTATTCGAGTACTTACCCAAAGGCACACATTCTTTATCTCGTAAGTTTATACTTTTATATTTTTGCTTAAAGATTAATTTAAAAACTAATTAGGGGAAAAAGGAGGAAATTCAGGTCACTCTAGATTTATTACTCCTTTGCTAGTTTTATCTGTGTTAAACTTCTGTATAAATGCACATCCCATGAGGTTTAGAATCCTGTTGTCTGTAATGTTATGCAGCATAGCTCTAGTACCAATTGTCGGAAATATAAAAGGTATTAGGGAGATATTTATTACATTGATTTGGACATTGTGCTAATTGACAAATCACTAGCATGGTTTTACGTATTTAGAGAGTATGGAATATTTGACTTTTTCAGTTAAAGAATGGATGCTGTGTAGGATTTGAATAAAAAAGTAATCAATCTTAAAGCCAGGTGGGAAGGAGCTGCCACTCCAGTAAATTTTAAAAATAAAATAGAGTTGTAGTCATGTTTGTAGACCCAACAAGCCGAATCCTTTTTTGCTTCTTCCTTTGGATTTTCTGCATTTGATAATGAACAAATACAGTTTCTATAGCCATTCTGACTTCCACTATGCTTATGCACAAAGAGTAATACTTCTGGTTTGTTTGGGGGGTTTATTTTAGGACTAAATATTTGATGATTACAAAAACTGGAATTGAGGAAGGAAGGAAAATTCTTGATAGCATCTTGTAACGAGTCACTTGTACATTTGCTAAGTATCCCCAAATAATCAGGGTAAACGTGTTTACAGTGTTGCTGTAGCCGTGTTGATCCCTGGATGCTAGAGAGACAAGGTAGGTGAGATAATACCTTGTATAGGACCAACTTTTGTTGGTGAAAGAGACAAGCTTTTGAGCTTACACGGAGCTCTTTTTCAGGATAAAAGTGATCATTCTGTGCATTCATAACTTAAAACATACTTTCTTCAAGTCTGAAGCATGTGGAAGCATCATAGTTCATAGGATGATTTCCTGGTTGCTTCAGGTTATGTTCTACTGGTTATGTGTACACACCATTAATAAGAACTTGAGTATATATTCTTCCCTGTGTTGTAAAGTAGTTCTATAGTTTCTTCTAGGCAGAAGTCTTTTATAAAGTGTTTTAGATAAAACTTGGTAGGCTGGAGAAAATAGAAATAACAACCATATATGCTGTATTGAGATGGTATTTTCAGTAGTGGGGGAGAAGAACACTGGCTGGGGCATCGTACAGAGCAAAAGATGGCCATTAGCAGTATATGCACTTCAGACTTCCAGAAAAAAAAATTAAGGCAGTGAATGACCCAAATAAACAAAGTGAAAAGAACATTTAGCACATATTTGATTTTTATTTATTTTTATTTTTGAAGGCCAAAATGTTTAGGTCACCTTTAAGCTAACAATCACCTGAATTGCATGATGAATTACAGTGCAGTGGCAATGCAATTAAAAATAACATAATGGCAAATCTTAATATATATTAATTTTTTTGTTGAAGTTAGTCTGGTTTTAAAACTAAGGGGGGTTGGTGGTTGTAATCTTTTTTTGCAGCTTGGAGTTATGTGTTTTGTTTGTTTTTGTTTTTGGGGTGATGTTTTGCATTTTTTTTTAATTGGTAGGGTAGCTTCTTTACTTTGGTAATCTCTCTAAGTAAATAAGTAGAATATTCTGTTGTTCAGACTACTCCTAGAGTGCAAATGGCCCCATTGCAATGAAGCAGCACATGGCCCTTTGTACCACCTAAACTCTTGTTGCAACTGTATGGAGGAACCTGTAAGCAGAGTGTTTGCACAGGGGCGTTTTTGCCCTCCTTGCATTCTATAGAAAGGGTCTCCTCACTAGGCCTACAGATGGGTGGAGGCTAGAAATAGGGCAGGTCAAGGGAGGGGACCTGGGATCAGTGTTACATGGACAATGTGTCACGCCCACTGCTTCTAGGAGTAATAGCATGATGACGCAGTTTCTGCCTTCATTGGCAAGAGTAACAGCTCTGGGAGGATGCCACACTGCAGCCCCTCATCTTGGCCCTAGATTGGCAGGTATTTGATTTCACATCCTTGTGCTTTCACCAGCACATGAAATTCACCCACATAGACCCTAATTACTTGGTCTTCATGCAAGTGAAATGCATTTCTTCTGAAGTTAAGAGAAAAAGATAATTGGTCTATAGTTCTTGCCACAACCATGCCCAAAAGCCTGGGGAGACTCATTTTACAGCTGATTGAATCAGGGAATTGGGGGGAGGGGGACCCTCCTCTTTATTTTTTATTAGGCTCCTTGCTGTTTGTTAATGTATCACTAAGAGCTGCTGTCATAATTTTGAGTGTACTTGTTTTATAATGGTCCCTTCAATCTGAGTATCTTTCTAATGTTAATTCTTTAGTGATATTTAACTCTATACACTAACATTTCTCATTAAACTTTATATCCTGTTTTTTTTGTTAAAAAGCCATAAGTGATAGCTTGTTGTTAAATCCGTGTTTGGGATTAAACTCATAAGTTATAACGTATCATGTGATTAAGGCACTGCTAATACATTCAGAACATGCTATTTAGGTTAGTAGTCGATCTTTGGATTTTTTTCCCTCCCATTATTTCAGTTCTTTACTTTCCTTCTCAAACCCATGAGTTGAGGATTTTGTCATTTAAATCTTTGAAACTTAAAGAAAAAAAAAAGGCAGTGAACAAAGTTCTTTAAAAAAAAACACATTATTAATTGTAGTTTTGTTTTCTATCTTGTCAAATCTGAAAATGACATGCACTAACACCAAGCATTTCTAAATGGTTTTCAACCTGAAGCTTTAAAAAAAGAAAAGAAAGTGTGTTGAATCTTAACCATCTGTTGATTCAGTTGTCTTCCTGACCCAGAAAATAATATTGTAAGAAGATTACCTAAATAGTGTTGGTAATATTTGCTGTCCTTTCTCTGAGTAAGGTTGAGGTAAGGAGGAATAGGTTGTCAGAGTGTATTTTCTTTGTTTGACATACTCATGAGCTTTCTAAGGGGGGTGTAACTCTCACTGTTAGGGATGCAATGAGGGCAGGGAATCAGGGGGCCCAGGATTCCCGCCCTCCTTGGCCATAGATGGGGTGGGGGTCCCAACTCTCAGGGGTGATGCAGGGAGGGGAAAAGTGTTTCGGTCAGTCAGTGTCTCTCCTGTGGGAGGAGAGCGAGAAGAGGTCATGGCAGTGGCGGGGGAGGAGGGGGAAGGGGCCGACGCATACACACAAATGCACCTCTTGGACTCCCTCTTTTAGGAAATTTCTGGTTGCACCCCTGGTTGCTGTAGAAATACAGGGTTTTTTTCAGTTTTTCTCTGGCATAGTTTATACTGTTGTAAGAAGCTAATTGAGAATACATAAAGGTGCTCATCATAGCTTTGCTGATTTTTCTAATGGATTTTAAACCTGAGAAATCTTTGTGCTTGGTGAGTAAAGGGAACTGCTGATTACTAAAAGGCTTAGTTTCATGTCAACTTTACTGTGGTATTGTAAACATTAAGCTAACAAAACAAAGTGTAAAATTCTGTGTAAATGAACATTAATTTTAAAGGGTGTACAAGCATTGTACCTTTTGTAATGATGACACTGAAAGAGAAGCATGAAATCCCTAATATTCAATTAATGGACAATGGAAATACAGGATGATTCTTGTTTCAGTGGATATTCATATATTGTGTTTAGAACAACTGAGCAGAAGGTAATGCATACTTTTAAACTTAACCAATTCAAATCAGCTTAAAAATAAAAGTAATAAAAAAATTAAATTTATTTTCATTTCTTGCCATTCAGGTAATGCTATAGGAAATAAATTGATCTGATTACTTTTTCCATATTTTCCATAGTTAAAAAGTCAGTTAAGTTTTCCGTTTTCTGGTGATTGAAATCAACTCTCATTTAAAAAAAAATGTGTCATGTTTTCAGATTAGTCTGTTCTAAAGTTCTCCATATGTCCGTTTGGATCTTCCTGTTTACTCTCTCTGTTTGTTTATAGAAGCAATTCCTATGAGGCGTGTTATACAACAGATTGCATGGCAAAAAGGGCCATTTTCTCTTGGGCTAACCAGTTAATATTTTATTTTTAGATATGCATTGAAGCCAATAATTTATACTTTCACTAAAAGTTAAAGGAATACGTTTATACTGTGGTCAGTTTTCCCAAGTGGTATTCATGTAGGCAGGGACGTTTTCTGACAAGATTTAGAGGAGAGTTGATGTCATTTTAAGCATGTCATAATCATCTTGGCATTTCAATTTAAGTTTTCTACAGGAGTTGACTGTTAAATCTGTTAGTGCTCTTGGCAGTGGAGGATACTATTTTCATGTCGCTATCACTGAGATCTTCTATGTATATTTTTCCATGAACAGTGCTGACTACAGGACAATTGATAGTTTTAATTTCTGATTAAGAAAATCGTCTTGCTTCCATGAAACAATTTAAAGAAAAAAATAATCTTAACATTTCTTACTATATTAACCAGAATGGATTAAAACCTAAACTCAGACATTGTTTACTTACATGCATAGTACAAAACATCAATGATATACCTTCATTTGATACTTGCAATTGGTGGAAACAAACAAGTAGATATTAATTGTTGTTCTGTATCTATTTTATGCTGCATATCTTTCCTTTCCATTTTCAGGAGTGGCATATTATTTCCCCTTATGCTCCAAAAAATTGCCCATTCTATTAGCCTTCGCTGTTGCTTTAATAAGTGGGCAGCTGTTTACTTCACGTTTATTACCAAGTATAGCTTCCCAAGGGAACTAGCAAGGGAATTACGAAAGCTAAACCACTGTTTCTTACTTTGCTAAAGTTCAGACTACTTTTTAGCCTGAATTGGACTCCGTATGTAAGTTCTCTAGAGTCACAATGCAGAGCTGCAATGTAAACAGGGCAATATGCATCAGTATTGTAGATTTAATCAGAACACCAGTTAATCTCATATTTGTGTAGGTGGACTGTGATTGTGCAATTACCTAAAGTGTTGTAATACTATAAACCTGATTTTTTTCCCCCCATGATTCATTTGAACGTTGAAAATATTTTTTACTCTGTATCTCAAAGAAGATGTATTAGAATTGGAAAAGGTACAGAGAAGGGCAACAAAAATGATTAATAGTATGGAACAGCTTCCACATGACGAGAGATTAAAAGACTGGGACTTTTCAGCTTGGAAAAGAGATGACTAAGGGATATGAGAGAGGTCTATAAAATCATGAATGGTGCGGATAAAGTGAATAAGGAAGTGTTGTTTACTCCTTCACGTACCACAAGAATTGGGTCACCCAGTGCAATTAGTAGGCAACAGGTTTAAAACAAACATAAGGAAATTCTTCACACAATGCACAGTCACCTGTGGAACTCATTGCCAGGGGCTATTGTGAAGGCCAGACCTATAACAGGATTCAAAAAATAATTAGATAAGTTCATGGAGGCTAGGTCCATCGATGGCTATTAGCCAAGAAGGTGAGGGATGCTCTAGATGTTCCTAGCCTCTGGGTGCCAGAGCAGGGACTGGACAACAGGGATGGATCACTCGATGATTGTCTGTTCTGTGTATTCTCTGTGAACTATTTGGCATTGGCCGCTGTCAGAAGACAGGATACTGGGCTGGATGGACCATTGGTCTGATCCAGTAGGCCGTTCTTACATTCGTATGTACTCTCCATGTGTTCTTGAACCTGCCACAGACCATTGCCCATTCACAAGGAAATCACATAAGTTCTAATGGTAAATTAAGACAAGAAATCCACCTGTTTATAACTGGAGATAGTAACTTAGTAATTTAATTTTGCCTCATTACTGCCTACATTTAGTTTTTCTTGGCATTCTCCACTGCCCTGCAATGTTTATTGTTAAATAGAAGGAAAGCTTGAAAATATTCTCTTTTCATTGCTCCTGAATGTAACTAACTAAACTATGAGAGTAACTTTAATACAGAAGACCAAAACAGAGGAGGCCAAACCAGAAGATAGTAAGAAGTGCAAGAGTAGCAGTGGTGTTTCACATGAACTAAAACTTAAATAAACTGAGGAAGTAATGGGGAATCCTTATTACAAGGCATATTAAAGTCACTTTAATCTTTTTTGGTATTTAATAAAATGTTGGGCGGTTTTGTTTTGTAGTGGGTGGTTTAAGTAAGAGACTCTTACCCAGTTTCGGTGGAATGCTCCATTGTAATTTTGATTAAGTTGTATCTTTTGTGAAATAATTGTTCATGCCATGCAATTTAACATTTGCACGTATTTAATAATTTGATTAAAATTATGCTAAATTTTTATACACCTTGTTTGCTATCTTGCAAGCAAATTATTGTACTCTCTTGTAATAAGAATGAAAAGCCTTTGAAAGGACTTAAAGTATTTTAAATTGTGCTTTTTTTACAGCTTAGTTTACAATACCATATTGAACAATGCATATACAGTATTTGTTCCTAATGATTTTGCCCACTTTCTTTTCACAAGCAATCGTTTGTTTGTGAGATTGAAATGAGGCAACAATTAAGATGGCTGTTAAGGTTTAATTAACAATTTTAAACTTGTATAGCAATTTGTCTTAGTCAAAACATCATTATATATTTTCACCATTGATTGTCAACATACTTTCTGAGTACTGTATACCATTTAGCTGCTGTCACAACATGAACAAAGGGATACACTTTTATTTTGTCTGGCACAGCAAAAATAAATTGGCCTTTTAGTGGCCAGTCATTTTCTTTTCCCTTAAACTGTAGTAGAGGTTTAGAATGTAATTCTTTTTAGGGTTTAGTTATGCAACCTCGTACAAGTCTCTTAAGCTCTCTGCTTTCCCAATCATAAAATGTAGGTAGTACTTTCTCACCTTTTGTAAAGCACTTTGAGATCTGGGATTAAGGATACTATATAAAACAAATTTATTTTATTTATTTATTATGGTTAAATGTTGGGCTTAAAACTTTGACAGAATTTTTAAAGACAATTATATGGATAGTGGATAAATAATTTTTGTATATGTTCATGGAAAATTTAGAGCTATATGTTTGAAATAGTACTTGTTAAAGCAGTGTAATTGTTCAGAATATTTGTGCTACCTTTTTGCTTCTTTCTCCCATATGACTCTCTTTAGTGACCATTTTGCTGCTGTGAGCTATAACCCCCACCCCATACATCACATGCAGACAACTGGCATTTTGGGTGGGGAGGCTGGTTATAAAAACACAAAAGGCCTGGCATCACTACACTGCTGCGTTCCCTCCCACTGACAGAAGATAAACTGCAAGTGCTCGTTCACTGCCTTTTCAGGGCCTTTTTTAAAACCACCAGCTGGTGCTAGTTCACGTGGGTGAGACTCGTTTCCTGTGTTCCCCAGGGCCTGGTGCCAACTTGAATCGTTCAAGGGGCGAATTTGATGGCAAAGTGGAAGCACCATCTCCCCTGCTGCCTTCATCACACCTTGCCACTCAGAGCCCCCCTGTGATCTCCTGTTCTGGTGAAATGTCACCAGACACCATGATAAAAGGAAAGCTGTCTTCCTCGGCTCAGGTAAGATCAAGAGATAGCTGCAAAAATTTGTAAATGTTAGGGGGGTTTAACACACATTCTCCCTAGTAGAAAAACGTGCAGTGACCATCGTATTTTATACTTTTGCCATGTCACACTAGAGTTACATTTTCAAAATATAGTTAATTTAAAACTTCAGCAAAAAAAAATCCAGATTTGCTCCTGGGCTGGATTAAGAGCTAATATTTCCCTAATTTTGCAGCTCCCTTTCCCTTTTCTTTCTTTCTTTCCGCAGTGGAATGTACATCCAAAAGTAATTAGTGTTTTTTACAAAAATGGCATGTGTGCTTTTTATTATAAAAACCATTAAGAGTTATAATACAGTATAAGGATGCTTGAACACGCAAGTGTCCAGTGTGCTTTTTTACTCAGTACTTAAACATGGATAGAAGCAGGGATTGCTTTCCGTAATGGAAAAGTTTCTGAACTAAAATATGTAGCTGTCAGTAATGAGTTACCTTTTTAAATATTTTTGAATGAGTTATTTACTCCATTTGTTTAATAAGGAGGCAAAATACAGCTCTTCCTTTGCAGTCACCTTAGGAAAAAATCACATGGTAAGAAAGGTTAATTAATCACCCCACCCTGTCCCGAATCTCTGAGAAACCTACCCAGACTACAACATCCGCACTATTCCATAGACAGGGTCACCATCTGCCATGCAGTGGCATAGTGCAAACTGCTTATGCCAAATTCAGATCAGTAATATCATGTAGTCTTAACATAAAAGAAACTGAGGAGAGCATGATTTTGCTTGATATGGCTATTTCTGTATGGAAAGAAAAATAGCAGTAAAGGGTTAAGGGCAAACTAGGTACCTGGATCCATATGCCAGCGCTTAAATAAAAGTAGCCTGACTTTCAGAATTGCTCTGC